AGGAACCCCCAAAACCCTATTGGAACAATTAACCCCCCAGATTACTCTCACAAGGCCCTCAAGCTTAAGTGTCCACCAAGCGCTAGAAAGAATCATGCACAAGGGAATGCCCAGCCAGATGGCACCGACTGTCGATGCCCCAGTGTGGGATTTAGGGTTTTGGGAACATGGTTTCGCTGCTTCGCTGATTTAGGTCTTGGGGCTTGGTGTTCCAAAGGCTCCCAAAGAGTATACAGCTTGGTCTTAGGGGTGTAGGTCTCTGGCAGTTCGCGGTTTCAAGGGCTGGGGCTGTTGGTTTTTGGGTTTGAGAGTTTTGGGTGTAGGGGCTCGGTACAGCGTAGGAGAGTTTCGGAGGCCAGTCCAGGTGTAGGGCTCGCTTGGTTTAGGGTTTAGGATTTAAGGGGTTGGGGGTTCAGGGTTTGTAAAACTGCGCCCGGATGATCATGGATGACCTTAAACCCCAACCTAGAAACCCGAAACCGCCCACACGAGGATCTCCGAGCCTGCAGCTTTTCAGTCGGCAGTAGGCGAAAGCCTCAAAGGTTCGATGCTCCGGACCGACCCCCCCTTGCAGATTTTACTTTGAACTACCATAACTGACTGTTGTTGTAGGTTCGGACTATAAACCCTAAATTGGGATTTATAAGGACCCTACAATGTTACAAAAAGTAGGTTTTGGTAGGTTACGGTGCCTAAAGCGCAGCCCCGAAACCCCACCAACCGCTGGGTCAGACCCACCGAGCTTCTGCTGCTGCCAACTCCGAAACCACTCACCCGACACACCGCCAAGCCTTGAACCCAAAACTATTCCTAAGCCCTAAACCCCCAACCCCCTNNACCCCAAACCCCTAAACCCTGAACGCAAAACTATTCCCAGATGTGCGTCGGCAGTGCGAACGCGCCAGCTGCGACCCCAGTGCTGAATAACTATGAATGATATTCCCCGCCCAGCCGGGTTTTAGGGTTTAGGGTTTAGTTTAGGGTTATAAGTTCTTTCAAGGGTTCCTCCAAGCTGTGCATGTTCTGTTTTGAGGGTTGCAGGACTTCTGCGTCGAATAGAGGGGGCTCTGGAGCTTCGGGGGCTGCGGGTTTGGGATGCACGGGGGGTTTAGGGTTTAGGGGTTT